CGCACTGCTGATGAGACCCAACCAGGTCGAAACAGCTGTCCAGTGCTTCCGAGCTTTTCAGTTCACGCTTCATTTGCTATATACACGACGAATTGTCATTTGAAATTTAACCAAGTCCTCCATTACGCACACGGAATATATATACTTCTTTAGCACTTGTTTTCGTGACATTTCTATTAAAATGGAAGAAACAATCAACATCCTGGTCGCGGGGATCAACTATTCACTGAAAGGCGCCAGCAATGCATGCACCGGAACATGGATTGGTGAATTACGCAAGGACATTTTTTATCTCTCCCGGAAGTGGCAATGGCAGACGGTTCCCAGGCAAGCGCCAACATAAGCGAACGAGACTGGTAAACAACTCACAGGTAGGAAAAACAAACTCATACTTCCATCAGGCAAATGATGTTTCATTTAAATAACATGAGGGGACTTTGATTAAGATAAACACCCACCTTGTCAACGAGCCACTTTTTCAAATTTAGCACTGTTAAGGCCTCGGAGTCATCCTCGTTTGGTTCACATTCGTCTTTTAACTCTTCTGTCGCAACAGTCTCGCTGTCCTCAGCACTTTCATCTGGTCGCTCAGAGTCTTCTTTTCGATTATCAGTTTTCTTGGAATCTTCTGTTGCGATGTTTAAATTGAAGTAACCGAAATTTGTAACGTCCAGGAGCAAATGACAACATTAGAGTTATAACTGATAAGATAGATCCCAAACTAACAATTCGAACGGTGAAAGTTTATCAACAGGATGGTTTTAAACTCCTATGACGATACATCTAAAAACCAACAGTGTTATTCTTTTTTTTTCTCCAATACAAAAAAGACAATGTGATAAGGAACAAAAACGATTCCTCGTATCATCGCTGAGCTTCGAAAACCATATCTACTGAAAAATCTGGGGCATGCATGGCAAACATCTCTCTACATTTAGCAAAGGTTTTGAAATGAAAGTGTAACCCTTAGTGTTATTGTATTTTCACGAATAGCTTTGGAAGCCTTCATTGATTCGCCATTCCAAGCCCAAGATCAAAGATTTCCATGAATGAACACCAAGTCTCTATAGCGATGGGGTGTGCTGTCTGTGGTCTACTACACAAAATGCGTAATTAAAACCCCACGAAAACAATCCAGATCAACCCGAATTACAAATATATTACATCACATCGTCAACTTATTCCTGTGGTCTGTCAGACCATCGCCGATTCATGTCCCATGAGACGTTTTCCAACGATTTCCAGTACAAAGAAAGCTGTGAAGGAAAGCTAGTTTATCCTCTATCTGAGCGGTAATTGTCCCCGTGGGAGAATAGGCAAAGAATCTTGTGAATGTTCAAACAGTCCTGCAGAACACATGATGGGAACTCAAAATTGACAAACTAGCTCATTTCGGTTGAAGGATAGAAGGATAGAACGCCCGGTTCTGTTGTCTCTTTCTGTATTTACTCTCTCACCTGTGCCTTTGGAGCAGAGTATGTTGGTCGCACGACCAGGAGTCTGTCCGAGCGCATCCGTGAGTATATCGATGGATTGTTGAGAAGTGGGGTAACTAAGTCATCACTATCATCATCGGTAGTTGACGGCGTAAGACAGTGAAGCAAATTTCACTGTTCGCTACCAAATAAATGATGAATACAATGTTAGTGAGGATAAGGACTGGCACTATTTTTTTGGAACGGGAAAAGAAAGTAAACCTCTACGATCAATATACATGGTACACAGTACAACTGTGACAGCAAGATTGCCAATGCTGTCGGTTTGCTGCCTTGACCTTCGGTGTCTCCAGCCATCCAGTTACGGAGTCTTCTGGACCCCAAATCGGAAGACGAGAGACATCTACTGTACTTAATCGCTCTGTGCATTTTTTCACAAATGCCGGTGTGTTGTACCTTTTGTCACTCATCACATCGTAAACACGACCGAAGCGTTCCAACCTTTGTACAGTTTCAACGGGACGGTCTAGACACGCGCGTTTCTGAATTCTTGCCACAACGGAGGCAGTTTACATCCATCTCCGCAATCCCCTTTGTAGGCTCAAAAGCAATCTGTGCAAACACTCAAGTTCCCATAGCCGGATTTTCCACAAGCGATACGTCATGTAACATTCGAACAAATGATAATTCACTTATAATGAATTTTAGTCAACTACATGCAAAGTGGGGGTCAATCATGTTCAAACTGTTAACATTTAATTACTTCCCTTTCGTAAATCTCTGTATCGTATATATTGTGTTGTAATGACACGATTAAGGTGCACTGAAAACGACCTTGATTGCTAAATTTGAGTTCTCATCATGTGCTCTGTGGGACTGATTAAACATTGAAAACGAGCCAAAGACCCTATCGTAATGAAAGGACTTGACGCTTTTGTATGATACTGGGATTGATCAGAACTGGTGTTTAATCCCTCGATTAGTGTCGAAAAACCAAACAGTACTGGACCATTCTGCGACGGAATCACATTTCTAACATTTCGCTTCGTCAATAGGCGTTCAAAGAATGTGATACTGTGCGCATCATCGCATAGAATTAAAAGGAAGCTTAGTGATTCCATCGCGTGTGCTCGAGAAACTTTGTGGATGAAAGACGGACCTTTGATGACTACGTTCAATCTATTGTGCACAAACAAGTAGCATGCGGTTCTTATGGAATGCCCGAATCTNAACCAATCTAGATAGGTTCGCAATTTTTTCTGGTATAAATAAAACGTTGATGGATATGTTTTTCTCGGGCCAAAGTGCTGCTGTTCAAGGAGAAAATTCAAACAATTGGGTATAGAGGTCGAGCCTGAAAACCTTTGTGTGCAGCTTTCAGACTGGTGTCCCTCAACTCGGTTGAAAGCGTAACAACTGAAGTCCACTCTGGTGAATACTTGTTATATTAGTGCCGAATCATCGACTGACAGATTAGTAACGGAACGACATGAAGGTTGCACAGAAATGAATTATATATATATATATATATATATATATATATATGTTTTAAACGATGGATCAAAATTCACAAAAATGTGTTACTGGTGAGGATAAATCTACATCGAGTGGAATGACGTGACCGTCAGCGTTGAAATAACCTCACTAATCACAGTGACTTCAAGTAAAAAAATTTCATGACAACGTTGAAAGAGTCGAGGAACATACTCTTATTTGTGTCTGGGAGACCGGACAGCTCCAGTAAAGCTCCAGGAGACATACGAGATAAAATCTGTTCCGCGCGAGCTGCCTCTGCAGCAGCGTTTCTTTCTGCTCGAGCTTCGTGCTTGGCGCTCTGTTCTGTCTTCTTTTTCTCCCAGTACTCTTCTCTAGAACAGTTGGATGTCAGATGAAAAACATGTATTGAGGGATAAAAATAATTGGCAATGAAAGTTTCATTATGGCTATCACATTCTTAGAACAATACGCACCTCCGGGTAACCTAGTGAAGTCAAAAATATCACTAAACTGGAGTAAACTGACAAAGCTAGAAGAGAGTTCATTATTGGGACGAAATGTACAGATAAAGGCTATCAAGAAGAACTAATGAGCAGGGTAGACATTTTCGTAAAATGTGGAAGAAGGCATGGAGCTAACCCGAATGGCCAACATCCCAAGGTTTAAGTTTGGTTGCCGTATACTGGTATTCAATCCCCTTAGAGCATCGTGTGGTATAGCTTTTTGTCGACCGTCTGCCAACCATATTTAACCTACTCAGATAATGTGATTCGGCGTTTAATGACAAACGAAACGCAATTTCCAAACATCTAGCCCTCTCGAGACAGTTTTCAGCTTCAATGTTACCACAAATACTCCCAAAACATCTTCAATTATAGGGCTATTCTTGCTGCCTCCTGCTGTGAACCTTGATGGAAAATGAAAAAATAATTTTTAAAAATCCTAGAATTGCTGCATCAAAAAGCAATAAGCTTCATAGGCTTCATCATGGGTAATTGGTTGACTCGAGTAGTAATATCTTCGGAAACGCAGAGTGATTCAATCACGTTGCAGCGTTGGATTTACTGTGAGTCAGACTTTGAGTTCAAGACACCAGTTAAAAAAATTTCATTGGCCTTTTGGGCTAGCGCAGGCACCTATTTGGAAAACCCTCTTCGCCATACTTAATTCTTAATCTCGCTGTCAGATCGTACGAAATGTTTCCTGTTTTGTTTATCAGATCGACCAACAGGCTTCAACTAGAACCCCTAGTCCACAATATATCTTGATCTCTACGCCACGTCATAGGTCGTCTATCTCGCTGCTTTTGCAGTCCGTTCCAATGTCTCCAAATAGTGCACAGTAGGGCATTCGTAGGACGTGGCCTCTACCGCCTGACAACCAACGCGCCATATACACGCCCTTCCCGTGAAAGAGATGTATCGCGCTGATGCCAGAGATGTCACAGATTATTTTATAATTTTAATTATTTTATTACCTCCTCGTCCACACCTCCGCCAGGACTTATGCAACTCACGAATAGGACGAAGTTTCCGACTACCTCCAGGATGTCAGTTCAGTTTTCATAACCGTAAGGCATGATTAACGGATGGAATCAACCAACGAATGTACAGAAACAGGTTCTTCTCAGTCTTGCAGCAACACCCCTCACTCTGAAGGTCCAAGGGATATGCCACAACGAGCAATCTCAATTAGCCTCCGAAAGCGTCAGTATGGTTGAGGTGGGTGTCTAGGGCTGATCACCTTTACCTTGCACCTCGCGAAACGCTCCAATTCGACCAAGCGTTTCAAATAGCCTCTGTTGAGGAAGCCCTACTCACTGACTTCTAGCGGCGGAGGTGCTTCCCCACCAAAGTGAGGACGAAAAACCGGCATCCGGGTCTATAAACGGGTTGGTGAACCATTGGCANGAGATGGCTAAAAACCCTGATTCCAAACCAACCACACCTTTTCGGTCGTGGCAGTGGTCACTGGCTCGATTGGGCATTGAGGTGTATTGGAGACCTTGGACGTTGGACCCCGTCCGAAGGGTGTACCATCCGATGAACTGGACACAGGCTCCCAATGGACTGCGGTTCTCACACCGTCCCGCTGCCTTGCGGGTCAGACTTTGGCTAGCCGAAGGCTCCGGTTGTGGATTCCCCAAGAAAATTCACCTGCCTTGGCCTGGGTAACCTGGTAGTATTCAGCCCATAAGCCAGTCATGAAACATTTTCTTTTTTATAAAGATTATTGTCATGATTTTCTTGGCACACAGTCCGTCCCCAGGTAATTGTGAAATACAATAATTATCTCAATTCCCAAGCGATTCAGCGTGTTTTCAAACGCCGATAGTGCCATCAATATACCGTCTCCTTTGGACGTTACGTAGAACTTCATCCATGAAAAAGGTGAAAAGAAACGGAGGGATAAGGTGATCATGATCAGCGTTGTTGTCAGCTCGCCTAACACTCAAGCGATACTGGACCCCATGTGAGGCCTCGTCACTGTCTAACATATCTACCTGCGCGGTACTACGTCAGTGTCGTCTACTGAGGAGGAGGTTGGTGGGCTGATGGACGAATGTCTTTTGTGGCTTCGGGAGTGGTCTGTGGGCGCATAAGCTTCGACGACTCTGTGTTGAACATAGAGGTTCTTCCCCTTTGCCTTCCTCCAAGTAGGCCCAATCCCTCTCCATCTTGTGCTTTATCATTTGATTTGGCAGAGATCAGTGAAGCTTGATTCACTGTATCTCGATGTACGATGATGGTTCATATATAATATGCGTCCTGGCTTGACCGCTACCTGCCGCAGATGGTTATCGTCGAAGTGAAGCGAACAAGCGCTACGACAATAAAATTGTGAACTTCGTAGTTTTCGGAATGCACGGTACCGATGACACTAAAGTGGATAGCCGGTTAAGTCTGAATGAGAGCACTGTGGAATAGGACTAAACGTAAACGCCAACATTAATTTATACGGTGTACAGAGCAGCTTTGAGAAAACAAAAACTTATTGATCTGTCTTCTACACTCCCGCTCGGGTTTCCGTGAAAAACAGATGAGCATAAATGTAAATTTAACCGGCTTACCGATACATGCGAATAGTGCTGTTCTCCCCAAACGTGGAGGATCCCTCTGAGTTTAAAAACTTCTCCGTATCTTCTTTCGATTCGAAAACAGCAAATACGCTACCCTGAAGAACTATAAGATGATGAAATGACGCACCTTAAACTTTTTGTCTTTGGGAAATCGACGCATGTGAACGTTTACCGTCTTTCCGCCGTGCTTTTCCAACCAATCGATTATTTCATCCAGTGCCGTATCTGGGTTGAAACCCTTAACATATACACTGCGATCTTTGCATGCTTCGAACGCCTCATCAAAGCTGTCCGGAATGGCCCTATCCGGATTCCTACGGATTCCTTCATCTCCGATCTGAAGTAAACCCGAGCTTGACTTTGACAAGGCTTTCTTGATCAAATCAATGTCCTCTGTTAATGACTTCAGTCGATTGAATTTCAACATCGTTTCGTAGGAGATCCCTGATATAACTTTCTAACCATCAATTGTACTTACAGCCATCATTCTCTGCGATTATTTGCTTCATAAACTTGTCACGTGTCAAGTTGATGTCACCGAAGTAATACTAAAGGGGTAGGTATGATTACGACAACAAACCTCAATCTGTTTGACTATTTTTTGTTCCAGTGAATCCATTTCACCAACCATCTCTGTCTAGCGTGCTGTAGCCTTCAAATCCGAATGGGCGCCTGAAGGTCACTTCAATGTCCAATGTCCAATGTCCAGTTTACAGGCGGAGAAAGCTCGTTGGCCTGTAGTGTTGCCTGTTTCTT